CGACTCCGACGTTGACTGCGGCGCGCGTTGGTGCACACGTGTGCAAGCGTGGTCTCGACGTCGGTCGTCTGGAGCGAACACGCTGTACTTTTCGACCGACCGTTATCTCTCCTTTTTTTATTGCTTTGTAAGCTCGACTTCTGTGCACATTTTTGGTTGCCTAAATCTTGCAGATGTTCATTTTGTTGCCTAACAGAGGGTTTGGAATGCACTTACTATGGTATACTCGACTATCTACTACCATAGACCGGCATTTTAGCCCTATATGATGTCAACTCTTTCTCTTGTCTTCTGCTGGGATACATACATTCTATGCCCAGCCCAAAAATACCCTGTATGCAAACAATTTTTTTTTAAAAACACCTTTTTGGGCATGCAAAGGCATGCATGCCAAGCTCCTAAACGCCTCTAGGTCCCTGCTCGGGGCCACTTGTGAGGAAGCTACTGGCCGGGGTACAAATATCGGTCTCGTCAGGTTCAGCAAGCCTACAAGGCATTTGTTAGTTGCTGGTGTAGAGGGTTTAGGGAGAAGGGAAGTGTTACAATCTATCGCTGCTCTGCCTTCGATCCCTCTGGTGGAAAGGCCTGCGCATATCTCTCTCGATACCCTACACTTTAGGTTAGGAAAGGGGTTGTTATGGTGAGCGAGGGAATGAAGCCTCGTCTCTGATACTACGCTTTAAATTAGGAAAGGGTTATGTCGAGCGACGCAATGAAGCCTCGTCTCGCGATACTATGCTTTAAGCTAGGTACGGGAGTTTATGTTGAATACCGGCTAGCAACGGAACCCGAGTTTCCTTACGATAAAACTTAGCCGCACTGCCTGGAACCCTAGCACTCCGCTACACATTTTTGGGGTTATGTTCCTGCTCCGCTACTCCGACATAAGTCTACTTACTGTGAGGGTCTCTGCATAAGTGCCGGCTCGATCGCTTCGGAGCTTTCGCTCTTCGCCGCCGAATCGAAGCTGCGCTGTCGAGGGCGGTGTTGAGCGACCGATCAGCAACGCACGGTTGCTACGGCGACCGGCGGTTAAGTTCAAATTCAAATCTATTCTATCCTATTCCATATTTCAATAAATGTTTAATAATACTTATTTTAAAAACGGCTCCTTGGCTTCTTTAGTATTAATACTGACAACAATAAAACTACAAATCTAACGGCTCCTTGCCTTTCTTACTACTAATACTTATGATTCATAAAACTAACAAAACAATCAGATTACAGATCTAGCGGCTCCTTGCCGCGAAACAGAACTTTGGGGTGGCCACTCTGGGTAGCCGCCTTACAGCACGCTTCACTGGATTTGGTCACATCCTTCGTCTTTGGCAACATTTGTATCAAATCGACTGGCTGAAATCCAAGAATGGACAGAGAAAGCTGAATGGCGACATGTACCTTCAATGCAAACCCCAGCAGATAATATTTCAATAGACTGCGATGTTAATGAGTTACTTGCGTCGATGTGGTTCGATGGGCCTTCATTTTTGAAGGAACCAGGAGAATCCTGGCCGATTATCCAGCATCTGATGACAGATTAGATGCGAACTTAGAAGTACGCAAAACAGCTGTTGGACTAGCAGCTAAGGTACACCGACCAGATATCTTGGAAACTATCGATAGTTTCTCATCGAATGCCAGGCTGCTGATGGTGTTTGCTAATGTGTTCCGCTTTATTCAAAAATGTAAAAATCGAGAAAGACAATTTGACAAAATTCAACAATATAGTTGAAGTCATCCAACGAGTTGAACTTAAAGATAACATAGATAGAGTTCGAAAGGGCTCGTAGCCTGCAGTATCTTAATCCATTTATACATGCGTACAATGGATCTTGGTGCTCCTTTTCGTTTAATTGCAAATGCTCCTATTTCATAGGATGCCAAGTTTCCGCTACTTAAAAAAAAAGCTCGCAATTCACTAGAAACTTTATTAGATATCTGCATTTGACGAATTGTCATGACTTTGGATAATCAACGCTCAACGGTCAGCTGTGAAACTCATGTATCCGCTGCTTTAAATGCAATTCACGTCTGCTAACACAAATTTTGGGAAATTTACCAGCAGATCGACTCGGAGCGTTCCACCCATTTTCTATCTGTGGAGTCGGTTTTTGTGGCCCAATTAGCACGACCTTTCGAATGCGTGGAAAGCCTACGTATAATTCGTACATACCACTGTTTGGTTGCTTCGCTTCGGAAGTGGTTCACTTAGACTAGTATCTGACTTATCAACTAGTACATTTCGCCGAGGACAATCGGGGGACAATCTGCCGTGTGTGTGATCGGCAGAGTGACGGCGGTGCACGCAGAAGAAGACCGCATCGCTAGAGTGGAAGAAATAAGGACGGGAATTGGCGGAAAATTTAAAAGGTCCACAGTTGGCCCGCTTCATGGTGGCCGGTGTTGGCGCATTTCCGCGCATTGCTTCGAATTTAAAACTTAAAGTCTAGTGTAAGTAAGGCTTAAGGAGGAAATAAATAAAATAAAGCTTTATCACTCGCTCTGCATTACGGACGAAACGCATAATCTGCTTGTAAAGCCACCACAAAGCTTGTTTTAATTATAAAATATAATATCAACTATCACGGACGATGGAAATTACCTCGCTGAAATATCGTAAATTAATAATATCACTCTTAAGTTAAATAAGTCAACGAAATGCCGTTACTGTTCTCACGGATGACGGGACGTGCCTTGCTCAAGTACTATAGAGTAATACAAAACCATTAGATTAGTTTTGGGTTATGTTCAACGATGAAGAATTAACAGGAGTTAGTCTTATTCGATTTCAATATGTTTATTTATCTCACAGCTATTGTTTATTTATCTTTATTAGGATAAGACTATTAACAGCTCACTATTGTTTACAGACTCTGCCGCACTGTTTGTAAAATGCAGCAATGCTGCAATGCTTTCACGCTATAAAAGCCGCCTCACACCCGCAACCCCTTTTCACACTACCGACGATACCATCACATATCGAAATTTTGCTCTCGCGCCGCGCCTATCACCTCAATGTCGTCTAGGTAGGCGAACGCGAACACTTGTTGCAAGGTGTCAGGTCTTTTTGAAAAGTAAATGACGCCACCGCTAAAGGATTTGATTGATCCAGAATGGAATGCATTAAGTTGCCTATAGCTCCAGTGTTCAGCTCGACTGTACCTGCCGTTCATCCACCTGCTCATCGATTCCCCTTTTTATGGCAGGGGTTTTCGAATAATATCTCTGCTTCAAAGACTTGTCTTTTACCCGAATCCTATGGTCCGCAATGTGTGAGATCTCATGCATGAGCTCCTTCAGTTCCGGAGCCAGATCCAGATTTTAGATGTGGGTGCTCCTTGTGCCTGCGCAGATTGAGTTTGTTTCCGATATTCGATAACTTACTCCGTTTCCAAGCAATCGATAAAAATATATCCTGTTTTTTGGGCAATTTTGGTAAATAATAAGAGCTAGAGTCACCAAACTTGAGATATAGCTTCTAAAATGTAATACATATATTCATTTGATGTTGGAAGAAGAGGGTTCAGGGTACCCCCTAGTCGGGAGCTCCCGACTAGAACCTCTTACTTGTTTTCCTTTTATTTTGTAATTTTTCTATTCTTATTTTTCTTTAATAAACTAACTTAAAAGTAAAATAAAAAAAGGACACACCACTGTCACTGTTTTTGTACTAATCACTTTAATTATTCGTAGGGAATTCGCCGTTCACCCTGGCTAGCTATTTATGCTTAGCAGCTGTCCAGCATTCGACTTTTTGATTTATTATTATTGGTCTTCTTATTATAACTCACTAATTTTATTATTTCTTTTGGTTATATTCATTTTTACTTTATTATTCAACAAAAGATCACTGTCAACGATTTTGATGGCTTTTATTTATTAAATAATTTATTATTATTTGTTGTGTTATTACTCACTGAACAGTACGCTCAACAAAAAAAAAAAATAATTGTCACCGTTTTTGTTGGTTGTACTGACGATTCTCTATTTACCGCACGCAGACTGGATTCGTCCCAATGTCATAGTACAGCATTTCCAAAAAGACGACCTTTAAGGCCCTTCCACGCCGACGTTGACGGCGGTAAATTTATACATTTCGACTGTCGCCCCCAAACGAATGAGTTGAACAGTGTCGGGATTGTTGTCATTAATAGTGGGACTTACACCGTTAATATATTACATACATATCAACTTGCACCAGCAATGTCTGTAATATAATTATATACCGGTATTTCGATGTATGCCTAATTCTTCATTGTCCTGGATGTCGAGAATATCGTGGATATAATTTTCACATATTATCTGGAGATACTAACCCCAGCAAAAGGGTGCATATAGTCGAGACTAACCAAAATGTCAGCAGTTTTTGTGATGCACCTGGTCATGGAATCTACACATTTACTACATGTTGGCAATAAGTCTCCATCCCTTCGTCATAAAGTAGTTAAAAAACTGGCGATTTGATTAAGCTGCCCAAACAAGCATCAAACTCGATATTGCGCAAGAAATCATTGTCGTACCTGTGGAGAAGCCTCCATAAGCTAAAGCTTCGACACCATCAAATACATCGGCACTTCGAGCGCTGCCACCTCGACTCACTTTCTTTAATCTGGTGCTGTGCTTTTGACCACTGCAGTGCTAATGATAAAAATAGTTCAGGTTCCTTGGTTTCATGTTATAATCAGGTTCTCAATTTCACATGGTCACATCCCGTTTCGCACAGAGGATTGAGTTCAAAACAACAAAATCATCGGCAACTGTTGCGGGCTTTGCAAATACAAGCGTCTCTATTGAAGAATCAACTGTAAGTATTAATATGAAGACACAAGTCTCAGATTATTCGGCCACCTTTGATTCTTTTGTGGCTTAAACATTTACCTAAGTTTCAAACATAAGAATTTGCAACACTTGCAACTCAACACATGAAAAATAATTTTGTGTTTTATGATTTTACGACTTTTTTAGAACAAATGTAAAAACGCGACGCTGCCTGTAGTGCACAGCACGAATAAGTGGAGATAATATACAAAATTATTCACTGATAATATAAACCTACTAACTATTACGGAACTGCTTGTTTCTCGGTTGGCCGCGCCGGCTCGCTCATCGGTTTCCCTGGGTGTAGTCCCATCCCTGGCCCGCAGTCCGCACAATCGATAACAACAAAGCTACAACTTCTGTACACAACACTATGCAAAACGAACCATAAATCGATAACATCTAACATCTAACACTTCTAATAAATGAACATCGTAAAAAGCTTTGACGACAAGAAATGTAAACCAACAAAGGTAAGACGCTCATTATAAATTACAAAAACAATTTAAACTTAGCCGGACATTTTTTTCCATCAATATGTTCGTATAATTGGTTGCGTTTCCTTAAAATAAACAACAAATAATTTCATTTCTTGCAGCAGTTATTTACGATCTCCTGCATGCAGAACTTTCGTTAACTTCACAGGTGTGTATAAGTGTATTCTTATAATTATTGATAAATAATATTGATTTTTCTTCTATTGAAGGTATCTCTGCAGGTTATCTAACTGCAGCCATTTACGTTCTTATGCACGTGGACGTTTCTTCACCAGGTGCGTATAATTGTAGCACATTCTCATTGTTATTGACGTAAGTATCTAAAATTTCAATTTTTTTACAGAATAAATACTGTCAAAAATCGAAAACACTGTCAAAGTTACTGTTGGATTCTGCAGCAGCCGCAGCAAATCAGCATAAGCAAACATTCATGTAAACATAAGAAGAGGTCGAAATCTTAGTCTAGCGAAACAGCTGTTTATTATGAACAAAGTTGGCAGGCCTCTCTTGCTCTTGTCGCAGCTTCTATAAACTGGCATATTCCCTTTATCAGCTCAGTTCGTTGTTGATCGAGGCGAAGCGATGAACTATTTCTGAGCCATAGCCAAATAACCTTGAAATTTATATAAATTCGATCAAATAAACTTAATCATAGCGTGTTGTTGTGAAAAGCCAAAAATGTACTTATTTCTTGGCTTAGGTTCCAAGCAGTTGCTAAAAAACATAAGTAACGCAACATTTTGGAGGTCCCGGCGAGATTTCACATTGCAGTGTATATAAGCAAAATAAATCTATTGCAAAATTAAAATTGTGATTATTCAAGTAAAACAATCATCGTAAATTGTTTCAATTAGGCAAGTGCAAACCGCCTGTGTGAGCTGACAATTTACAAAATTCGCCAAATATTCGCAAATACATAAACGCCGCTAGTTGACTTTCGCACTCTTCCCCTTGCGCGGTCATTCACCGGCTCAGCTTATATACATACATACGCTTGTACATAAGAAGCTGCACAATTCGTCGCATGTTGTGTGCTCAGTTTGGTGTTCTGATTTTGTGCTTGTGGAAAAATGATGCAAGGCGAGAACACAAATGATATGCAGGCAAACAGGGTGTATTTTCTTAAGCGTAAGGCGGCTGCATTGTTCGAGCGAGCCAAGTATATTGAAAATGAATTATCTGAGGATAAAATTAACAGCTCTTGTGCCGTCGACTTAGTAGTGCGCCTATTGCTAATTGAACAAACTAAGTCTGCCCTTAATGCCACGCATATCTCGCTCTAGGAGCTAAATTGCGATGAGATTGGCAGCAAATTACGCGATGATTTTGACGAGTTGATTGCCATGGTTGAAGCTCGCGTTTGCGTAATTATTCAGAGTCGTCAACCTAACGACCCGCCCCACTCAACCTTTCTTCGTCATGAGGATTTGCCAAACCAAACCGTGATCTTGGCCAACAGAACGCGCCTGCCCGATCTCAAATGACCAACGTTTTCCGGTGGCTATACCGAATATTCGGACTTCATCGCGATTTTTGAGTCAATTGCCGCGAGGATACCGAGCTGTCTAATATTGAAAGATTGCAGCATTTTGGCTCATGTTTGTCTGGCCCTGCGTTGGATTCGGTTCGATCTTTGGAGTTTTCCGGTGCCGTGTGGCTCTGGACATCCTAAAAAGAAGATTTAGTAACAAACGTCTTTATTTCCAGGCACACATTTATGAGATTCTTGGGCTTAAGAGGGTAGATTCGCAGTCGGCTTCAAAACTGCTTGAGTTCTCGGACAAGGTCAATTCGCATATGCATGCCTTACAGACTTTGGGCAGTTTGGAGCAAAATCAGGATGCATAAAAGTTCACACGCTGCTTCAAAGGTTGGACACCCAGACCAAATGGGAGGAGACCGCAGGCATTGACAAAATCCTAACAGCCGATGAGTTCTTCACATTCCTGGAAAGGCGTAGTCAAAGGCTGGAGAGCGTGCAACATGCCATGCCACTCCATTTAACCAAATATCAGATATGCAAATCCCACCACAGTACTATCCACAGCAAAAGAGTGATTGTAGCTGAGACTAACCAAAATGGGTGCAGTTTTTATGATGTATCTGGTCACGGGATCTACACATGTAGTAAATTCGGAAATTTGTCTCCATCCCTTTGGCTTAAGGAAGTCAAGAAACTGGCAATTTGTTATAACTGCCTAAGGAAGGGACACCAAACTCTATCTTGCAGTAGTCGTCATTGTCGTACTTGTGGAGGAAATACACTGTTGCATTTTGCTGCATCAAGAGAAGCTTAAGCGTCGACACCATTACATACATCGGCTGATTTGAGCGCCGCCACTTCGACACACTCTCACTCCACTACCTCTATTGCTGTCCATATTCTTCAGTCTGGTGTTGTGCTCCTGGCCACTGCAGTGGTAATGGTAAGCAATAGTTCTGGTCCTTTGCTTCCCTCAGGCTTATTAGACTCAGGCTCGCAGTTGCACATGGCCACATCATTAGGAAAAATAGGTCGTCGACAGTTAGGATTCACATGAAGTCACAAGACTCAGATTATTCAGCCACCTTTGATGCTCTTGTTCCAACAGTTACCGATAGTCAGCCCAGCTTCGTCATCGATACATCAGACTGGAAAATTCCCTCGAACATAAGGTTGGCTGATCCTGCGTTCAACAAACCACAGCGAGTGGATCCCTTAAATGGAGCGACCCTCGTCTATGAGCTTTTGTCTGTTGGGCAAATTGTGGTTTTGTCAGGACTACCTCTTCTTCAAAAAACTCGTCTTGGCTGGGTCGTGACCGGTGGGTTTGAGAGACCACACAGTACCTCGCTGTTGGCTGCCGGCGAAGCTAGTCAGTTGGACGTCAGTCTTGATGAATTGGTTCGGCGTTTTTGGGAAGTTGAAAGCTTGGAAAAGCCTACAGTACCGGCCACCAAAGAAGAGTCGGAGTGCGAGCAGCAATAACTTCTCCCGCTTACTATCCAGCGAGTATTCAGTGCGGTTGCCTCTGAAGCCGAGTGCAAAGCTTCAAGAAGAGTCTTATGGCCAGGCTTATCGTAGTTTTCAGTCCTGAGCGAAAATCGGGTTGGAATTCGCATCTGAAGGAATAGTATTCGGCATTCATCAAAGAGTTTCTGGATCTAAATCACATGTCGCGAGTTAGTCCATAGTTGAGTGGCTGTTGTAAATACTTCCTCCCACATCTTTGCGTCTTGAAGGAAGACAGCACCACAACCAAGTTTCGAGTTGCGTTTGATGGCGACTACTGATTCTGGACATTCTCTTGATGATGTACTGATGGCGGGACCAATCATTCAACCTAAGTTGTTTCACATTCTGATTCGCTGCCGCAAATATCCTGTTGCTCTGACAGCTGACATTTGCAAAATGTATCGCTGAGTCCGAGTGACTTCACCTGATAGTTACTTCCTGTGCATCCTGTGGAGGGACTCGCCTCAGAGGGACATCGAAATCTTTAAATTGGATACAGTAACATATGGGACCAAATCAGCATAATTTCAGTCCGTGCGCGCAATGCACCAGCTGGCCTTTGATAGGCGTGATGAATTTCCAATTGGATCGGATGCCATCAAGCAGAAGCTTTACGTTAACGATTTCATATCCGGAGCCAACTCAGCTGCTGAAGCCAGAGAGAAAATTCGTCAGACGGCCTGGATATTGTCTCGTGGAATCTTCAATCTTCGAAAGTGGTGTTCCTGTCACCATGAAGTCCTCAATGGAATAGCTTATGAAGATAGGGAACAGTAATTGAAGTTCGATGATGGAAGCTATGTCACCAAGGCCCTTGGTCTTGTATGGGATCCAGCGTACGACCAGCTGTTATTTTCATTTTCTGTTCTAGATTCTACTGTTCAACCCTGCAGGCGATCACTTCTGTCTATTGTTGTCCGTTTTAATGATCCGCTTGGACTTTTGGGATCAGTCATAATTAAATCAAAGATATTTCTTTAACAGCTTTGTAAGGACAAATTATCTTGGGATGAAAGCTTGTCGATTGCACGTGATACGACCTGGAAAGAGCTATGCACCAGTTTTCGCAACACTCGCCATGTATCGTTTCCCAGAGTGGTACTCTTCGAAGGAGCTGATGTTGAAATACATGGATTTTGCGATGCCGGTGTGACGGCCTATGGAGCCTGCATATACGTGGTGGCCAGAAGTCTACTAGCCACAAGTCGTATCCTTTTCTCCAAGTCTCGAGTTGCGCCATTAAAAACATTCACTGTCCTAAAACTGGAATTATGTGGAGCGAAGCTGTTGGCTAATCTGATGCATAAAGTCAAACGCACAGGCATCTTTGTCAGCCGGTTTTATTGCTGGTGCGATTCGTCCGTTGTCTTATCCTGGATATCCTGGGCCCTCTCTTATTCTGTGCGGCTGGTCCAAAGTCGCCTTCGCTTTTGTTCGGGTTCATAAAACGGCATCGCTGCTTTTTTTTATTCCCTCGCACTGCTGAAAACTGCTTTGGCTTAATCTCAGCGCTCTTTCAATTTATGTATTTACAGTTGTACTGTCTGTGTGTCTATTTGTACGCACAAGCAAAAATGCCCGCAAATTCAATTTTTTCACAAAAGCCCGTGGCTTTCTTCCCTTTGGAAGGGACGAGTAATATGAAATAATGAAAAGGTTTGCCACGTCGTTGCGAAATTCTTGCATATTAGCTCGTTATCGTTGGTAAGGGTATCAACGCTTTGATGTGCATTTAACATATTTTGGACTCGCTATTACGCATACTTGCATATTTTGTAATGAAAGAACAATTTTTGCTCTTGTGTGCCTGTTGCTTGCCTGTCCCCGATGCAAATTTTACAAGATTTTAAGTTTTTGTGATTTCTGTATTTCGGGCACTAAGTACACACACACACACACAAATGTGTGTGAATGGGCAGATCATGGGCACAATAAAAACTTCATTATTGGCACGGGTCTGACGCGCGCCTTCTTTTTCGGGTTTGAATTGATGAATGAATGCTGACCGCTACACCTGCACCTGTATATGTAGGTCAAGTGACTGATCACTTCAATGATTTTATGACCACCTGCACCTTCATATATTTTGTTGGTTAATTTCGCCCGTTTAATGCAATAAAATCTAGAAAATCCAAAAAAACCGTTTTAAAAAACTGCTAAAAATTAGACTTCTTGACAGTTTCCAGGACAGGCACTGGTTTTGTTGACATTAAACTTTGGAGTTGAGCGGTGTTAGCGAGTGACTTACAGTTTTTTTTTTAAACTTTTATATACGTACAACAATTCATTAGTTTTTAACTAAATTTAATCTGTGTGTATTACAACCAAAAATAAGAGAAAAGAGGACAAATAAAGGAGCTAAGTGCATAATCCCATATTGTCGTAGGAGTTATAGGAAAAGTTCACCAAATTTCCCTGTGCGATTATTTTTGTTTCTTTTAAAAGAATTTGATTTGTTAACAAATGGGTTTACCTGTGTAATTTGAACTCGAATTTTCAGGGAAGCAAGGCTAGAATATGTGATTGACATTTTGAACTTAAATATTTTGGCAAAGCTAGGTTAAAAGGTAATGCAGTTCCCACATTACACTTGTCCGAAAACATTTTGTTGCATTCGGGTACCGGTAATCTGAATGAACTGGAAAATGTTATTAGAACCCTGT